AATCCCCATAATCTGTAAGGATTTAATGTTAAGAATTAATCTAAGTCGCTCGAAATGCCTAGCCATGCTAGTGTCCTAGTGGCCCCCTCTGTAATTAGTATTTTATAACATGTAAACCCAAAATACCCAACCTGTAACCCCACATTGTAACCATTATAGAGAATAAACTTGAATTGAATTGAATTCACTTACGATGAAGATCAGGTTCGGAACATCATAGGGGTCGAAGACAGTAAACTCAGATCACTATCTAATGGAAACTCAGACATACACACTCACTGGTCCAATTAGTAAAATACACTCAAACCCTGAAGGTAGTTTAGTAGATTTATCTTTAACAAGACATCAATTGAGACCCAATAAATCGTGAGCTTACTGAAATATGCCGAGAAGACAATACGATCAACGAGGACCTAACCTAAACCACTACTCCCAGAGGGTCAGCTCGCCGGGCCCAAAAAAAATGCCGCAGACATGTACCAATACAAATTAAAGAAGGTGCAGGTTGGAAAGAGAGAGGATTGCCCTTTATTAGCGAACACGACGAATATCAAAGCTCCTCAAAGGCAGTAAAATTTTTTGAAGAACGAAAATAAGCACTAGCGAGAGAAATGGGAAAACACTGAGCTCAAACTGCATGCATCACGGTCCAAGAGAGACGGAAGCAAAAACGTAAGTGAATTGTGAGAACTCCAAATTGCTTCTGATATGCAAAAACTTTAGTATCGGGCCTTTTATTGAAGATGGAACACACGTGACGACACAAAGAAATAAATAGAATGCCCAAGTCCCAATACGACTCAGTGTTCAGTGAGTCATTAATCAACCTAAAGATTGACGATCCAAATAAATTCTTCATGAACGAGAGGAAAAACACTGCAGACATCTCCCTGATCCCCCTACTACAACCATAGTCCCACGTGACTTGAAAGAGGCCATTCATTGTATGCCAATGCACTCCGCCCCAGGCCAGACTCAAAGGACTCCATATTCATCAAGAATTGCAACAACCCATTATCACAAGCCTAAATGTTCTGGAAGGAGCCTGGTCAACTGGAGTCATCCCATGGTCATTCAAAACCCACTGATAAAGGGTCCATCCACAAAATTTGGCAGTAAAGCAGTTGCAAATAACTATAGACCGATACCGCTGACTTCCCACATTATGAAGAATTTTTTTAAAATATTTAAGAAGTATGATTGCCCCGTCACATGGAATCGTGGGAGTTGCATAGCTTAGGTTTAACATGGTCAGACAGGTCGCTCTTGCCTCTCGCAATTGTTAGACCAACATGGTCTTGGATGCACTGGAAGACAAACAAAATGCAGATGTAGTGTGTCTTTGACAGGAGGTAACTGCACAAGTTGCGTGCAAAAGGGAAAACTGAAAATGTCCTCATCTTTAGTAAAATTATTATTAATAATCAAGGGGAAGCGCTAACCCGGAGGGTTATACAGCGCCTGGGGGGGGATTGGAAGGCATTTTTAGGCTTAAAATTTGGGGAACTGGAGCACAGATTCAATTCCCCAAATCAAGAGCCCCTCACCAACATCAAGGAACCTTCCTTGAGGGGATCTTTAGTAAAGACTTTATCATCTGGGTAATCTGTAGTGCTATGAGCAGTTGTTTCTAATTCCTTTAAAACTTTAATTGTTGCAGCTTAAACGATGCTTAACCGCTCACCTTCTCTCGCTCTATGTACCCCGCTATTAAAGGTAAAAGTCCCGAGCCAAAAGAAACAAATAACTATTGGTCTTCTTTTTATCTTTGCAAACAAGATTCCGTCTCCATGTGTGTTGATAATTTTGCTTTTAGCATTTTCAGTTACTAGTTAATCAATTGATAAATGTTCATTAAGTTCTTGATCAAGATGCATAGAGAGAACTGTCATTCCTCAGATTCATCAATAAAGGAGCACAGCCTTTCGAATGCGTAGCAACGTGTTGATCCTGTTGGGCGTCCACGTTTAGAGTCGATGGTCGGTGCATGCAGATTTAGAGTAACATTTGACCCCCCTAGAAAATGCCGTGCCCATAATGACAACGAGAAAATGCAAACTCCCTTCCTGTAAGCTTTTTCACCCTGAAATGTGTACCTCTTTAGTACAGGAAAGACTGTGCTATAACTTAAATTGCCAGGCACACCATCTTTAAAGGGGACAAAAAGATACAAAACATCCAGGCCATGGGAAAACCTGGGTAGCCACAGCCACTCAAGAGAGAGAGGTTTTTTAGTGCCAGGAAGAAAAAAAAATGGCAGGAAATGGCGAAATCGTACACCAAATCCAGTCATTCCTGGAGTGGAATCACAGTCGATGCCTCCACTCCAAACCAACAGATACAGATACTAATGCCGGAAAAAAAATCCCCCCCCCCAGTACCAACAATACCACCATCCCCATGACATTCTCTTTGCAAATATACAGGGTCTAAAGCCACAACAAAAAACAAAATACCTTTTTTAAATTTTCATCAGAGTACAAAACAAATTCGGCCACAAAATAAGCGAAACACCAACGCAAAGGGCCTGGGAGTGATCATGTCGGAGGATCTCACCTTCAAGGACCATAACATTTATCAATCGCATCTGCTAGAAAAAATGACAGGATGGATAATGAGAACCTTCAAAAATAGGGAGGCCAAGCCCCTGATGACACTCTTCAGGTCACTTGTTCTATCTAGGCTGGAATATTGCTGCACACTAACAGCACCTTTCAAGGCAGGTGAAATTGCTGACCTAGAAAATGTACAGAGAACCTTCACGGCGCGCATAACGGAGATAAAAAAACCTCAATTACTGGAGCGCTTGAGGTTCCTAAACCTGTATTCCCTGGAACGCAGGCAGGGGAGATACATGATTATATACACCTGGAAAATCCTAGAGGACTAGTACCAAACTTGCACACGAAAATCACTCACTACGAAGCAAAAGACTTGGCAACGATGCAACATCCCCCCATAAAAGCAGGGTGTCACTAGCACGTTTTAAAAGACCATACAATAATGTCAGGGGCCCGAGACTGTTAACCCGCCTCCCAGCATACATAAGGGGATTACCAACAGACCCCTGGCAGTCTTCAAGCTGGCACTGGACAAGCACCTAAAGTCGGTTCCTGACCAGCCGGGCTGTGGCTCGTACATTTGGTTTGCGTGCAGCCACAGTAACAGCCTGGTGATCAGGCTCTGATCCACCAGGAGGCCTGGTCACAGACCGGGGCCCCGGGGCGTTGACCCCCGGAACTCTCTCCAGTTTAAAATCCAGGTAATAAAGTGCTTCTTCTGCAGTAAGATATACCACACTCTTCACTCGTCTCATCACTTTCTCACCCCACTCATCATTTCTTTGCTTAACATCCTCCAGTATTTTTTTCTCTTACCCGGTCGGGTACAAACCTCACACATAACTTTCACGTTTATTCACATGGTTTCTTTTTCCCTGCTGCGATTCCCCTTTTTTTTACGACAAAACAAACCCCTACTTAAAATCAACTCGTTCTCCTGACCACAAATACATTCTTTCTGTTTAGATCTTTTGCCTTTCTTACTGTAAATTTCTGACAACAGATGTAATAATTTAATAATTTAAAAAATAATTTCTGCTATTTCGTGTTGTTTTTCTTCAAGAGTAATCGGGCTGGACTATCAAGAAACTGTGCATAGGCCAAATTATTATTATTAATATAATCAAGGGGGAAGCGCTAAACCCGGAGGATTATACAGCGCCTGGGGGGGGGGAATGTGGAAGGCATTTAGGCTTAATTCGGGAACTGGAGCACAGATCCAATTCCCTAAATCAAGAGCCCCTCACCAACATCAAGGAACCTTCCTTGAGGGGCATAGGCCAAAATAATATTTCTGGCGCTTGGGAGAAAATATAGGTTAAGGAGAGTAGTTGGTTGGTTCGTTAGGCTTGAAGCCTACCAACTGCAAGATGATCATTAAATCTGCATGTCACCTATACACTACCCGCCAGGAATACTTTATTCCATAAAGCAGGAAATATGAGTCAACTCTCGATGGTTATACACTAAGAAATACACGCCTCTCGGTGTATTTACAGTTTCGAAAAGTGAGTAGTGGCATTTTTCTCATCCAGTAAATGAGCTCGACAGCTTGCGCACTTAGAGCACTGAGGTCCATGGTTAGATCCCCGGTACGAGTGGAAACATTAGGACGTGTTTCCTTAAGACACCTGCTGTCCATGTTCACCTATCAGTAAAATAGGTACCTGGATGTTAGTCAATTGGTGTGGGTCGTATCCTGGGACAAAATTGACCTAATTTTCCCCGAAATACTCTGCATAACAACCGGCTTTCTGTATAGTAGTATGTCATTGATGTCAGCTGAGACTGTATATTTGTACATGTACTTGTAGAAAAAAAGATTATTTTTATTATTATTACTAGATTCAGGATATTGTTGATGAATCACCGAGACAGTAACAACACGTCCCGTGAGGTAAGACAAGATATAACACAAACAACATGGTATACTTGCAACAAGATATAAAATGTCGCAAACAACATGGTATACTTGCAACAAGAAACAAATATGACAAACGACATGGTATACTTGCAAAAAAACAAATATCGCAAACATGATATAATTGCAACAAAAAGCAAAATATGACGAACGACATGGTATAATTGCAACAAAAAAACAAAATGTCGCAAACAACATGGTATACTTGCAACAAAATACAAATATCGCAAACGACATGGTATAATTGCAACAAGAATGAAGAAGTATCCACAGATTATTTGGTACGTATTTCTTGTGAACTGTAATGCTATCTATTGTGTAATAATTCAGGGCTAAGAGTGAACACGAGGCACATCACCACACTGCTCTTGTGGCCTCTGCAGTGTCAGGTTAAACAGCTCTGTTATAGCTTGTCATGTATGTGAATGACGGGTACATGCATATTGTAAGAATCTTACAGATGAAGATGAATGTAAGAAAGTGGTGCGTACTAAGATGAGAAAGTGGTGGCTACCAACCTGAAGAAGTTGAACAAGTTGACGGACACTCCGCCGATGAAGAGAATAACAATGGTGAATATTCCGAACACCACGGAGACGTTATCATCTTGTGTGGAGTTGTAGTCATCTTGTGTGGAGCTACCTCTTAGGAAGTGCAGTACAGCGCAGTACAGTACCAGGATCACGTCAGTCAGGTACAGCATTAAGGTGGCCTGGGCTGTACGCTATTCAATATTTTGAACATCATAATACACCACCTGTGATTCTTCCACATCACCTCTGATGCCTTACACACCACCTCTGATGCCTCTACAACCACCTCTGATGCCTCTACACCACCTCTGATGCCTCTACACCACCTCTGATGCCTCTACAACCACCTCTGATGCCTCGACACTACCTTGATGCTTCTACACCACATATCATGCCTCTTCACCACCTGTGATGGTTCTACACCATCTGTAATGCCTCGACACCACCTGTGAGGCCTCAACACCACCTGCGATACCTGAAAACAACTTATATCACTATAACTTCTACGCGTGTTTCCAAGTAATTTTGCATGTTCATCTGACTCATCTACTCATTTGCGTAACCTTTTCCTTCACGTTCTTAATCTTCTCAACAACTGAGTTGCTTCACTAATTTCTTTGAACGTTCCTCATCATTTTTAATAATAGTTTTCTGACGGGTGGTTTAAATGCAGACTGCCCCTACGTCCCTAATACATCAACATCACTTGTTCCTGAAAAAATAAATGCTTGTCAGTATAAATTTTAGATTTGGATGTTATCAAGAAATTAAAAATCACATCATTTGATGTGACTGGCAAACTTTGTCACTTTAAGAGAAGCAATTAGTCAGTGTGAAAGAAGGAAGAGTGAGGGAGGCAGCAACACCTTGGTTGTAGTAGGGATCAGTATAGTACCCTGAGGTGGTGTACAGTACAGTGTTGCGACAATAACTGTTTCATATTAACTAAAAGGTACACTCAACAAATTACATACGACTCAACACTGATGTAGTGGACATAGCCAACGTCTTGCTAGGATACGAGGTTATTTTTTTTTTTTTTTTTTTGGTGCCGAAGCTGCTAGTTCATTTTGCATCCCAAATTAATTCTGTGGAGGGTAGAACAAGAGAATATGGATGCACAAAAAGCCTAGGAACTGAGTCCCTAAAGGGTAAACAAGAGTACATTTGAATTTATATCTTCAGTTGTCTTATATGCTGCAAGTAAATTTACAAAATTTGCTTAATATTTCTGGTATTTTATTTTCATTAAGATATCTCGACATATCGTATAGGTTATTATACCGTCACAATAAGTGTCAGGGCCCAAGACTGTTCAACTGCCTCCCAGCATACATAAGGAGAATTATCAATAACGCCCTGGCTGTCTCAAGAAGGTGTTGGACACGTACCTAAAGTCAGTACCTCATCAGCCGGGCTGGGGTTTGTACGTCTGTCTGCGTGTGGCCAGCAGTAACATCTGGTTGATCAGATCATGATCCACCGGGATGCCTGGTCAGAGATCGGCCGCGGGGTGTTGATCCCCGAAACCCTCTCCAGGTAAGACAGTACTCGTAGCAATGGATTCAAGTTGGATAAATTTGGAGTTAGAAAGGATGTTGGAAGTACAGGTTTGGCACTAGAACTGTAGATGAGTGGAACAAACTCCCAGTAGCGTTATTTAGGCAATTTTCAGTAGCTTTAAATATAGGTTCGACGAACACATGAGTGGGCGTTGGTAGGTGTGAGTTAGACCTGCTTAGTATGGGCCAATAGGCGTGCTACAGTTTCAACTTTCCCATGTTATGTCACCTGGTCACCATCAGACATGGATGCCTCTTCTAATCAGCTTGAATCCTTAAAAAAATGATGTACCTTGCCTAAGAAAGGGCTAGGTTGAAGAGGTAAAAAAAAAATCATTATGTATTTCAGTTATGTAATTAAAATGTTTTTTAGAGTGGCAAGGTTGAAAAGCTGGGAAATGACTGTTTATTCTATGTTGGTGCTGAGGAAAATATCACATGGAATTAATTCCAAAGAAATATTAGAATCCTCCAGAGGTCTTCCATTTACAACCGCCATTCTCAGAGAGTATTTTCCCATCACTTCAAGTTGGAAACATTCTACAGGTGGTAGTATATACTTTGGCGGGTTTGGGTCAATGGGGTTCAAAACTTATCGACTAAATTTACTAACGAAGAACATTAATAATAATAATAATTTAATAATAATAACTATATTTCTACAAGTACATGTATTAATATTATTATTAAAGATTCGCCGGTATTCTCCCGCCCGGCCTTTTCCAAGTGGTGGCCCGGCCTTGGCTCCCTCTTTATGGAGTGTCTGAGACCTAAGTCTCCCATGGGAGGAGGCACAAGTACCTCCTCATCTTTGGGACCAACTGTCCCCAGGCCTAGCCACAAGCTAGGCCTCTCTGGTCTGCCATCCCCGCCCCAAGGGACAAATGGGATGACAGTCTTGTGAGCTAAAGGCTCGGGCTCAGGCACCTACCCTACCCTAGAAGGGTTAGGCATGGTGTCGATCAAAAAGTACATGTACAAGGTAAACAGGCCTAGCTGACATAAATGACATAACTATATAGAAAGGCGCTTGTTATACAGAGCATTTCGAAAAATTAGGCTGCATACAACTTGTTCACTACCAGACAAGAATACTTTAATATCCGAAATAAGGATCAAGGTTAATTTTGTGTATATACGCTGAAAGACATACACCTCTCGTGTATTTTCAAAGCCCAGCCCTGGAACAGCTCTTGGTATGTGATTTCCACTATGGAAAAAAAAAGTTTACCCGACGTGGTCACCAAAACATTCTGTTTTCATAATATAATAGCCAAAAATTCAGTAAATGTCAAACGTTTTTTTAAAATGAACCCTAAAAGGGCACTCCCCTTCAATAGTTCCAAGGGCAGGACGGGTGTATATATGTGCCACAGATGCAAGGAAAACGTTTATTATTCCCCAGCCAACATTTGTATTAATTTGGTCGTCTAAGTTTAGACGGGGCTGGCTGGGTTAGACCGGGAAATAGATTCATTACGTTGGCTAGAAAAGTTAAAATAAGACTAAAAAGATAATACAAGGAAAAAGTTTAGAAAGATTGGTTGTTTTAGGTGAGGCGAGTTGGGTTAGGTTAGGTTAGCAAGGGGAGGCTAAAGTCTCAGCAGTTTCCTCAGTGTGAGTGAGAAAGGGGAGTGAATGCGGGCTACATAAGATAAGGTTAAGTAAGATAACACTTTTAACATACAGAAAACGTAAGTATTATTTTTTTTATCTCTACTTTAAAAAAAAATAAGTTTTAAATTCTTGCATTTTTTTTTGTCATTAAAAAATGAAATACATTGCAATTAATTTGAAAATTATTTAAATATTGTTTGAAAGAAATTTTTAAACTCAGGGAGGTGTTTGTGTGTTTATGTAAAAAAACTTTCTTTTGTTTTTGAAAAATGTCATGAAAAATTTGAAAATTTAACTAGAAGAAACCCAGTTGTGTGATAAAAAATTTTCTTGCTGCTTTTTCAGTTATAAAAACAAATACAGAAAAAAAGCCTGGCTTGCTACCATCGCAGCCAAAAGACCCCATCCCCCGACCCCCTTTGGGGGGGGTAGATGAAAACCAAGGCCTATTTTCCCCCTACGACCCCCGTGAGGGGGGGAATGTGGCGGCCTGGGACACTTGGCCCCAAAGATGGGGGAAATTTGTACCTCCCCCCATGGGGACTAAGTCTCGAGACACCCCCCAATGGGGACCCCAAGGGCCCGGGTCCCACATTAAAAAGCCCCGGGGCCGGGGAGAATACCGGCGAAAAAAAAAAAAATACAGTAATATAAATAAAAATGAAAGCATTTTTTTGTATATTACATACAGGTTATAAATCTTTTCCACATTAACTGTTATATTTGGGGGAGCGAAAACCTGAGGATCATCTCTTACAGCCCCTGAAGACTGTGAGGTAATCAGGGTTTAATAGGGGGGAGGGGTACCCTCAGCTCCTTGAATAAAGAGCCCTTTACCACCATCAAGGTTCCCCTTCAAGTGACGTACAATTTTTAAGGACACCGATAAAAAGGAAAATTTTGGCTATCCAAAGGAATGTTATTGGTGACCAACTGATCACCGCTCCCATGTTGCACTTTGTTTTGGGCACCACCAGTGCCAGTGTTGTCACTTGTGTTGGCCCCCCAGCGCCAAGTGGTTACTACTATGTTGGCACCCCGGGCGCCAGTGGTTTTATACTGTTTGGCACCACCAGCTGTCATTGTGGTGACTACTGTTTTGGTACCCCAGCTGCCAGTGGGGGTCACCCTGGTGGCACCCCCACCCCATTTGGCACAAATTTTTGGTACCCCCACTCCCAGTGTGGTCCCGGTTGGCCCCATCAGTCCAGTATCGGCACCAGCAGTAACACCTGGTTGATCAGGCTCTGATCCCCCAGGGGGCCTGGTCACAGCCGGGCCCGGGGGCGTTGCCCCGGAACTCTCTCCCCAGAAAACTCTCTCCAGGTTGGTCACAACTTGTTGGCACCCCCAGCTCCAATGTGGTCATGCTGTGTTGGAGCCACCAGCTCCCCGTGTGGTTACAACTGTTTTGGCCCCACCAGTTTGTGGGTCACAACTGTGTTGGCGCCACCAGCTCCCAAAATGTGGTCAGACTTTTTGGGCCACGACTACCAGTATGCACAAATTTTAGTGCCACCAGCGCCAGTGAGGTCACAAGTTTAGCGCCACCAGTGCCACTGGGCCAAGTGTTGGCGCCACCAGCTGTAATGTGGCCAAATGTTGGCGCCATAATTGCCAGTGAGGCACAACTGTTGGCAAACCCGCATAGCAAGAAAATTGGGACCACAGCATATAAGGGGGAAGGGTGTCAGGGCCCCTAGGCAAGGAGGAAAGAGGACTGGTAGGGGAAATGGGGGCCCCCGTAACCTGGGGGTTACCTCGTTCCACGGTGAGTGCCGGGCAAAATTCCCGGGGAGGGGGAAACAAAGACGTGTTTCCTTAAAGTACTCTGGTTTCAACACTAAAATGGGTACCCGGGGTTTAAGATGGTGTGGGGGGCATCCTGGGCAAAACTACCTATTTGCCCGAAATGCTCGTATAACAAGCGGCTTTCTATACAATTTCATTGATGTACTAGGACTGTATACCTTTACAGACTTTTAGAAATAAAAATATTATTATTTTTAACGCTTTCTTTTTGTCTTGCGCTGATGACCAAAGTTTTTCCCAACATAATAATAATATGCAAGGAG